TGGAATATGGCATCCCAGGAACCTTTTCATACTGAGGCGACCACTGGTTTACCAGTGATATAAAAAACCTCCTAAATACTGCAGTTTCTATAATTAGCTGGATAGATACATAGGACTTAGCTTGTATTTATACTTATGTTATAGTAAAGCATGGAAAATTAACTCAAGGAAAAGGTTCAGGCTTGTTTCAGTCCTCTCCTGTAAAGTCACACAGAACACATTAAATTCCCCATGCACTAAATTTGTAAATTTGGAAGATACATGGAACATATTTTCTATAAGGAAAGATGTTGAGATAATTTCCAATTATTTGTAATGTGAGTGGTTAAATTTACAACAGATTTCCAGTCTCCAGGAGAACAGAAGACATAACCTCCAGTGTTTGTACAAGCAGTTCAGGGACAGCCACAGTCCATTATGAAACAGAGAAAAGTCAATTTCCAAATGCCAGCCAGGTCCACATGGTAAACAGGCACTGGTACAGAGAGCAGTGTGCTGTGTTAACTCTGCTGCAATGCCGTTCTCTGCATGGAAGAACTCAGCCTGGGTACAAAAGGTGTGTACTCCATGTAGTCATTTTACAGGAAGATGATTATCCATTGCACACAAGGGATTATTCATAAAGATATCAGCCACTTAAAACAAAGGAACTACTTTTAAGGAAGATAGGATTAGGGAGAAAATTTATTAGCTACAGAATAAAAATGCATACAAACCACATACTTTTATATTCATTTTAAGAATCCCAGAAGCTTTCTTTTTTCTCTTACAATTGAAATGAACCACATACTGCATCCTACTGGCCCTCTCCTGATATCTGTCTTGTCTTTCCTATGTGCAGGGCCACTCAGAGCTTCACCAGGGAGATGCTTGTGTTTTGTCCTTGATACTTCTCCGCTGTCTGTACCACCCTGGCCTATGAAATCTCCTGGACCTGTTGATGACTTCACAATTGCTCTTTGATGCTTCCATATGCTTCCAGGAAGAAGAATGCCAGCTCTGAGTTTAGGGAATTTGTCAAAGGTTTAGTGTGGGAGGACAGTGTTGGAATATGAATTCCCTTTCAGTTTAATGAACTCCCCACATTGCTTCCTTTACGTCAAAGGAAAACCTCGATTGAAATTCAACATATTTATAAGAAGAAAGTTACACACACCTTTCCTGAGATGCATTTTTGTTACCATGATATTATATTGTAGTTTCAGATAAATTTAGCACAGTTGAGAATAGTACATGGGAAGTTCTTCTTAGTCCCAAACTACTATTTATTGTTAAATGCTGAAGGCTACCCCACAGAAGACAGCAGCACTCTTCCACTGTTTATTTTATGTTTCTTATTTTCTGAACCTTTACCATGTATTTTTTTTTCTGGACTGTGGCTTCTTAGAAAGAATAATTTTTGGAATTATAGAAACAGAGAATCCACTGCCTCGGTAATTTTCATTCACAAAAGGAAGATGACAGGTAGTGGTTTGAACTGTCCACTTTCAACTTAGCAATCTGAAACAGTGAGAAAACACGCTCTAAATTATCAAGGGCCATGCCACAGTCAGTCCCTGATGCAGAAGTAAGTCTAAGTATCTTACCTGTTATACAAGGCACAATTCTGGCTAAGACTGAGAACTGTATAAGACATCAGCAGTCATGCAGTAATTGGGTGGCTTTACCATCCACATTGATCCTCGATCATTCCAATTCTATGTTCTTTTGAAGCCCCAACTCTAAAACTGTTACTTATGCCTCTTCAGGGGCATGTGTGCTAAAGCTCAGTTTAGGAATGTGCTGACCATCTTCTAATGGCACACTGAAATTTGGTGTCAGCTGCATCTCCTTTCTCTAACTAAGCATACCTGTGTTTTCTTTCTTTCTTTACCTTCAGAAGGTCAAAGAGAACTGAAGTTCTCATTCCAAATGTCAGTCCAGTGTCAGGCAATAGCACAAAGAAGGAGTGAGATCACAGCAGCTTTCTAGGTGTAAGAAGGTAATGAACTCAGATTTTGAACAAATGGACTTAATAGATGTCTACAGAGTGTTCCACCACCCACAAAATCAGAATACACATTCATTTCAGCTCCACGTGGTCATTCTCCAAAATAGACTACATACTAGCTCATAAAATATACTTAAGTACATGCAAAGGAATTGAAGTTATCCCATGTATATTATCAGGCCATAGTGAAATTAAACTGGAGAACAATAGCATAAGAAACTGTAAGAACTTCACAAACACATGAAAATTGAATAACACACTCCAGAACAACAAATGGGTCACAGCAGAAATTAAGAAGAGGGCTGGGGGTTTGGTTCAGTGGTTCTGCCACCTGCCTCACAAGCACAAGGGCCTGAGTTCAATCCCTGGTAAAAATAAATAAATAAAAATAAATAAACTAATTAAATAAGAAATTAGACAGTTTTTACAATTTAATGATAATGCCGATACAACATAGAGGAATCTATGGGAAACAATGAGAGCAGCTTTACCTGGGAAATTCATAGCAGTAAATACCCATACTAGGAAAACAGAATGAGCTCAAATAGAGATGGTCTATATCTCAACTTAGTAAAGGCTATCTATGAAAAGCCAACAGCCAACATCATATTAAATGGCCAAAAAGTGAAAACTTTCATGTTAAAATCAGGACCAAGACAAGGATGCCCACTATCACCACTCCTCTTCAATATAGTTTTGGAAACATTAGCCACAGCAATTAGACGAGAAAAAGAAATTAAAGCAATAAAGATAGGAAAGGAAGAAGTTAAACTGTCATTATTTGCCAACAATATGATATTCTACATTGAAGACCCAAAAAACTCCACCAAAAGACTTCTAGACTTAATTGACAGATTCAGTAGAGTAGCTGGATACAACATGAACACCCCAAAATCAATAGCCTTCTTGTACACAAATAACAGACTCAATGAGTGAGAAATTAGGGAAACAATTCCTTTCACAATAGCATCCCCCAAAAATGAAGTATCTAGCAATCAATCTAAGAAAAGAAGCAAAAGATCTCTACACTGAAAACTATGGCACTCTGAAAAAAGAGATCAAAGAGGATATAAGAAAATGGAAAGATATCCCCTGCTCCTGGGTAGGAAGAATCAAGATAGTGAAAATGGCCATATTACTAAAACTGCTATACAGATTCAATGTAATGCCGATTGAAATTCCAACACTATATTTCACAGAACTAGAAAAAAGAAACCAAAAATTCATTTGGAACCAGAAGAGACCTAGAATAACAAAAGCCATCCTAGGCAACAGAGACATGGTAGTGGGTATAACAATTCCCAATTTGAAACTATACTACAAAGCCATTGTGAAAAAAAAGCATGGCATTGGCAAAGAAACAGATCTGAGGATCAGTGGAACAGATTGGAAGACACAAAAACAGATCTCGATGTACTCAGCTATGTCATCTTTGACAAAGGAGCTGACCATCCTCAGTGGAGGAAAGATAGCCTCTTTAATAAATGGTGTTGGAAAAATTGGATTTCAACCTGCAAAAGACTAAAACTAGACCCTTAACTTTCACCATGCATTAAATTAAAATCCAAGTGGATTAAAGATCTAAATATCAAAAAAGAGACACTAAATTTGCTGGAAGATAAGTTAGGCAGAACTCTTGAAGACGTTGGCATAGGAAAAGATTTTATGAACAAATCCTCAGTAGCACAGGAACTAGCAGAAAGAATCAATAACTGGGATCTTATTAAAAAGCTTCTGCACTGCAAAAGAAACCATCAACAGAACTAAGAGACAGCCTACAATGTGGGAAAAAACTTTTACCAGCTGCTCCTCAGACAAAGGACTATTATCTAGAATATATAAAGAACTCAAACAAATCAGCCCCCCCCAACTATAAAGACCCGATTCAAAAATGGGCATCTGCAATGAACAGGCATTTCTCAGACAAAGAAGTAAAAGCATCAAGTAAATATATGAAAAAATGTTCCACATCACTGGTCATTCGAGAGATGCAGATGAAAACAACACTGAGATTCCACCTCACCCCACAAAGAATGGCTGCTATCAAGAAATCAACCAATAACAAAAGTTGGTGAGGTTGTGGGGAGAAAGGAACCCTTCTCCATTGTTGTTGGGAATGCAGACTGGTGCACCACTGTGGAAATCAAAATGGAGATACCTCAAAGAGCTAGGTCTAGAGGTTCCATTTGACCCAGCCATCCCTCTGCTGGGTATCTTTCCAAAAGAATTAAAAGAATCATATCACAGTGATATACAAGCACCTATGTTTATAGCAGCACAGTTTTGTAATAGCTAAAATTTGGAAACAGCCCATTTGCCCATCAGTTGGAAACTGGATAAAGATATGGTTTTTCTATAAAATGTAATATTACTCAGCCATAAAGAATGAGAAATTAGATTCATTCATAGGAAAATGGATACATATTGAGGATATACTCCTAAGTGAAATAAATAAGTCACACATGTGTAAATACCAAATAGTTTCTCTGGTGTGAATAAACTGTAATAGTACATAAGGTCCTAAGGAGATAACTGACATTGTGAAATGGGAAGAACAGGGCTAAAGGTGTAGGGAAAGTGGGAAGGGTAGGGAAAAGGTAATAAGGGAAAAGAAAAAAATGTGAGAAAATGAAAAAATGGAAATAAAGTGTTTGTAAACAGGGATGGGAGGAGGGGATGAAGGGAGAGCAGGGATAAGGGGAAAAAATGAGAACCAAGACCTGTCCTGTAAAGGTACAAGATCCCAGTGATGAGTGTAACTGTACTCTATACCTACAATGTACCAATAAACTAAATTTAAAAATTGTGGACTCTGAATAGAAAATTTTCTTCTGCAAGAAGTGAATAGTTTTATTCTAAGACAAAATGTACAGAAAATTCACTTCAAAATAAAAGCTATCCTGACTCTCTTCTCTCTATGTGAAACACTACTTTAAACTTGCTCCATTTATGAAGCATTGGTTAATCTTTGACAAGTATTTGGAACTTTGCCTGTTTCTTGTTTAATAAGCCCTGAAGGCAGAAGGAAGAATCAGCATTTGCCTAGCCAGAGGAGTGATAAACAATGGATCACAAACATCTGAGTGTGGCACTAAATGATGGTCATGTCATTCCTGTCCTGGGATTCGGCACCGCTCTACATAGCAAGGTAATGACAATGTCTTGGTCTTGAGGATTTAGGAGAAAATAAAATGTTGAAATGAATGGCAGCTGGCCAGGATTTCCAAGTCTGAGCCTCAGTGACTTCAGGGGACTCACCTGGATATCAGTTTCTCCAGGCTAAAGTTAGCTCTTATATGAGAGAGCGGGTAGTCACATTTTACTCTGCACTATGATGCATCCATGTGCAAATCCACTGATTATTCTGGGCTCCATTTTCGCCTTTGTTTCAGTCTACTTCATAGCATGGTGCAGGATACGAAACAGCAGTCAAGATTACTGCTTGTCATACTTGGAGTCTGATTACAATGGCATTAGTTTGTCTCTAGAATTCAAGAAAGTTGTGCTTCTTTCAAGTATGTGTGATCCAGAGAAATCAGTGGTAAAAGTTACAAAAAAAGATGTCAATGAAAAAACTTGAAAAGCATTGCTGTTTCTCTGAGGAGCAGCCTGCTGAGCATTGCTCCCTAAACACTGGACCTAGGGGCTAAACAGGGTTCCACAGGCTTCACTGTCAACTCTGGTAAACTTATCTGAAGGAAAATGCAGGATTATATGGGAGGTCACCTATGCTCCAATGAAGCAAGTCCCAATTCTTGGTCAATGTTCATATACACTGAATTTGCATCAAAATAGTAGAGATAGATTTGTAAGCAAACATGAACAAATAGATAATTTAATACACTGAGAAAATATTTTATTCCCACATTATCCCAGATTACTCAATATGTGGCCATGGTCGTTACTAAACCTTTATTATCTTTAAGTCATAAGAAAATATCTAAAGAGAAATTTTGAAGATCTTTGATACCAGTTTTTCTTTACAGAACAAATTGACATGAAAGATAAATAAGGATACAAGCCTTCACCTTGGCTATCGTCTCCTGGCTTCTAGTACAGATCCTTCAGCCCTCCAACCCAGTCCCTTCGGCCTGCTGATGCACATGCACATGGGACACTGCTTAGTAAATCTTTAAGGGCCAATACTCCTGGTCTGGGATCAAGAAGAGTTTCTTCCAATTTCACTGAAAAACTAAAGCTTTTAAAATGCTTAAAAATAAATAGAAAATAATTTATTTAATTTTCTTTCTCCTTCAACAAAAGCACTTTAGATTCTTCACTCAAATTTGGTAGGCAAATTGTTCATGTTGTGCAACTGTAACAAAATACCTGAGACTGGGTTATCTGTGAAAAGGACAGATTTATTTCTTACAGTTACAGAAGCTGGGAAGTCCAAAGTGAAATGTAGCGTAAGTGGCAAGGGCCTTCTTTCTGCATCATTCTAATACACAAGGGAAAAGAGGAAGAGAGAAAATATATATGAGAGCAAGAGTGGAACTCGCAGCCTACAGCCTTCTTATTGTAACATTAATCTGTTCGTGAAGGCAGATCCCTCAGACTCTAAACTCCTATCAGGAGGGCCCACCCACACACCATTACATTTGAGATTATAGTTTCTACATATTGTGGTGAGTCACATTCAAATCATAGCATAAACCGAAACTTTAACTGGGACTTTCCTAAAAGAAGTGAATTTTATTTTCAGGAAGAATAGCTATTCTTTACAGCATATGTCTAAACAATATATATATATATATCTGTAAACAGACTGCAATGAACTGAGTTACATGAATTGTTTGTTTTCTCCCATGATTTTAATGGTACATTTGCACTCTACTCTATCATGTGAGCAATAGCATTATGTATAAAAAACAAAGTATATGTCTTCTTTAGAAAGTACTTTATTTTTGAAAAATGCTTCTGATCTTCTGAACTTTCAGCAAGTCCTAATCTTCTTGATGGACAGTCTTGCTTTATTGTTAATGGGTGCATTGGTGATGATTGCTTAAAGCTGCGATGACTGTAGAAAGAACTAAGACAGCAATGATGTTTTCCACATCCATTGAATATTTCTCTCATAAAATATTGCTGTGTCCCATGCAATGTTATTTATAGCATTTTAATCACAATACAATGTTTCCAAAATTGGAGTCTATTCTCTCCACCCTTCTGCTCATCCTATCAACCAAGGCGTTGGGGGCGGCAGGCTGAAGGGAAACCAGGTCAGGCAAGATTCCCAAAGAAAAGAACATTCATGGAGCAGACATCACCAAAAATCAAGAACCAACTTTATTTTGCAGCACAGCACTTATAGAAGATTTTATCAGTTTACTGGGGTATAGGAAGACAAAACATTCTGGACAAAACTGTAGGCCATGTGGCACATGCACGATTGTCTATCTTGATTCATTGTTATACAACAAAGGCCCATCTTGCTCCTGTGTTCAACAGTGGGATTGTGTCCTCAGGTGCCCTCAGATGCTAGGGCTTGACACATCTCAATGCAACCTCCCTGCACAGGTTATGCAGTATCCTCAATTATTTATTGTCATCTCAGGATTGTTCTCAGAATCTTCATGAGATGAATACTGCTTGTGAAGGAACGATTTTCTTTGATCATCCATCTGAAGCAACTCATCCATTATTTTTACATACAGCTTTACAATGAGATTGCTACAACACCATCACATCCTCAGCGAACACTTCTAATGCTAGTTCCTTTGCCTCTTCCACACATCTGAAGTTACTTCCTCTCCCAGAGTATTGAGCCCCTTAAAGTCACTTACTTATGTATGATGGAGTCATTTGGTTCCAAAATCTTGTTAATGTTGAATATTTGACCCTCATTCCATGAGTGATGTATATCTTTAATGACATCTTGATTGATATTTTGCAGAAATTTTTCAATGTATTTTGCTCATATCCAGCAGAGGAATCCTTATTTATGGAAATTTATAGGTGTAGTAAATGTGTTCCTCTCAACACAGTGACCTCCAAATCAAATCTTTGGTTGCACATCCAGGTCCCTAAGAGTAAGACAGTGGAGGTCATCAAATTAGCGATTAATGCTGGGTTCCGCCATTTTGATTGTGCATACTGTTATCGAAATGAAGAGGAAGTAGGACTGGCCATCAGAAGCAAGATTGAGGATGGCACTGTGAAGAGGGAGGACATATTCTACACTTCAAAGGTATTATGAATATGTTTTGTGCTTGTGTGCATGTTTATTTAACAAGATTGTATGGGGATGACAATGTATGATGGATCAGTGGCTGTTTGATAAATTATTGCTTATTTGTACAGCTTTTATGCATATCTGTTTATGTTTTAAAGCTAGGATCCAAAACAGATGGTATCTTTGTCAGAATTAGTGTGTCTGAATTGAGGACTTCAGTGTTGAGATGGTTTACTTCTTAAATCTTAGATCAGAGATGTGTGACTTATCACTGATTAAATAAGACAGTGAGATGATCAGATTCTCACTTTTATGATCTCATGTGCAACTTTCAGAAAATTTTTCTTTTGATTTTAATTTTCACTTTGTCAGTAAGGAAAAGCAATGTAAGGGGGATGCCTTTGACTATTAGAAAGATATACCTAAAATATGATGAGTTGTACACAGAATATAATAAGCTGTTCTAAAATGATTTCTCCTTCAATTATTAGATTAAAAGTATTAATTCTTCCCCCTTTAGTTGAATGAAAAAGCTTCAGATTATAAAGTGTACCACTTTATAAATTTAATCAAACATAATCCACATAATGGTCATTATTATTGAGAAAAAATTTAAGTCTTGAATAATTTTCTTCCATTTTAGTAGATATATGGTCAGTGAACAAACAAATAATAAACTTTGCATGTGTAAGACAGATGAAAGGAAACTAAGGAAAGCCATGAATATGTTTCCCCCAGCCATAAGTTTTCAACAAGTAGAAAACTGTCTCTATATTAGGTGAAACAAGTCAACAAAGTTGACTCAGATATTAATTCTAGATTTTGTTCTTTAACCTCTTTAGCTTTGGCCCACATTCAGTAGACCAGAGTTGGTCCAACCAGCCTTGAAAATGTCACTGAAAAAGCTACAACTGGACTACATTGACCTGTATCTTATTCATTTCCCAACACCTGTTCAGGTAAACAACTTAGGGGTGCAAAGCTCTTTCACTGCTGATGACAGCTTCAATATTATTTATGTAGATGGTTGAATGAAGAATTTTCAACAGCAGGTAGTGATCATTATACCAGAAAAAATCCTAAGGATTACTTATGCCCTTATTTTGAGTAATTTTCTTGGTGTTGGGGATTGAGCTCGGGTCCTTGAGCTTGTGAGGCAGATGGCAGTATTTTGAGTAATTTTTGAGTCCTTCATCTCATACTTTGTGCTTCCAGAGAACAAAGTTCAATAACTGAAACACTATGTCTCAAACATTTGAGGAAATAACGAAAGCCAAATTCAAGGCAAAAAAAGTTGACTCTGTTTGATACTTCCACAGGCCACAAGATCATCATGTGTCCAGTGGGATAAGGAGCTCTGCTTGGCTACCCTGGGTCAAGAAAGCAATCCATTATGGCTGGATCTCAAGGCCACACAATTATTTCCTTACCCAATAAGAGAGAAGCCTTTTCCCAGAGGAAAATATAGGGACTGACAAAAGTGACCAATATGAAATGAGACCCTATTAGACTTTGGAAAGTATCACTCATAAAACATTCAAAAGATACGCGTTTAGAGGAAACCTGTCTTCCAAGGACATTCCTTACCACTTTAAAACAAAATATTTGACAAATATCATTATCTAAAGTGTTGGCTTACATGCTTCATGAAAGTTACTATTCCAGCCCCCACAACACTTACACAGTAAGTAGCTAGTTATGGCGACATAAATTCATTAAAATCCTTACAGTGTCTGCTTCTATTCCAGCCTGGGGAGGATTTGTTACCCAAAGACGAACATGGAAAACTATTATGTGACACGGTGGATCTCTGTGATACGTGGGAGGTGAGTTCTTGGATGAGCGAACACAGAGATGAGAGTAGGAAGAGGATCAGGTTTGACCTCAACTGGGGTAATGGATGTGCATGGTTGGATCTAGAAATTCAGGATTTGCACAAAGAATGTTTTGATGAAAATGATGCCTAAGAATTCTTTGCTGGAGAGTAACAGAAACAGAAGAGAATAATCGAAGAAAATAGGGATTGGCCTCTCTCCCTCCACATGCAGTGGTTTCTCCCATTTCCTTAGGAGGGAGTAAGAATTCTTTTGTGGTGTCACTATCCTGTTCTATCTTCACGACAGACATTCCTTTCTAGACAATAATCTCAAGCATTTCTCAGCAGAGTTCCTTCTAATGGTTCTTTTTTGTAGGTATACTGATTGGAAGAAAACTGTACAATTTTTTCCTTATAACCTATTTCTCCCCAGGCCATGGAGAAGTGTAAGGAGCTGGGATTGGCCAAGTCCATTGGGGTGTCCAATTTTAACCGCAGGCAGCTGGAGATGATCCTGAATAAGCCAGGGCTCAAGTACAAGCCTGTCTGCAACCAGGTGAGTGCCCTCTGACTACTCATTCTTGCTTTCTTTCCCCTCTGCTGCTATTATTTGGATGTACTGTATCTGTTCTTCACTCTGCTCTATTCATTTGCCATTGGCTTGCAGAGGATGTTTGGAGCAGAGCTTCTGTCTGGGAAGGCATAGATGACCCTTCATTATGGCTTTGCTTGAAAGTATCTTCTTGAAACACCAGGAACATCTTAGGACTAAATGGTTTGTAAAATATAGGGAAAGTGAAGTTCATAAAGAGGGCAGGTGGGGGTGCTTGTTAAGTAGACCTCAGGGGGAAGACACCCTTGTCCTTGAGCTATGAACAGTGACCAAAAATTGGGTGGGTAAAGCCGTTGTTCAGTGTGTGAGAATTAAAGCCATGAAAGCAGGCCATGGACAAAAAGAAATCCAGAGTTAATGTAAGAGAAGTTATGTTCTGGTTGGAATTCTAATGCCTGAGTGTATTGTCCTGCTCTCGGGTGGGGTTTTGAGTCCTTCATTCTGATATCTCTGCTTTCAGGTGTATAAATAGGGGAAAAATTAACTGGTGTCCTTGACAGTCACCCAGGATGTAAGAAGCATGTTATTCATTTATGGTAATATTAACGTTGAATGAAATCAATACTGAGATTCTTTTCCCATGAAAATGTGTCTGAGCACATTTTAGTAACCTCTCTCTGTTTCCTGACATCAAATCACTTGTTTGAACACATGTATTCTGTGCCTGCTTCTCAACTCTATTTTTTAGTAGCTTCCAGGTATGTAATAATGCTCCTTAATTGTAAAATGGAGTTTCACAATTCATGAATTTGCTATGTAATTGCAGAGAATATTATCTTGTTATGTCAATTTTTAAAATTATTGTCTTTTAAGTACTAATTGTATCAATATTTCTTACAACAACTATTTTAAACCACTAGAACATTTGAAAGAATAATGTAGAAAATTCATGCTTTCCTAGTCATACCCTCATTTCCCTCTATTTTTCATGCTTCCAAATGTTGGTACAAGTGTGTGTATATTTCCATTCATAAGCAGAGTATTTTGCTTAACCTCATCAAAGCAAATTCTGTAAATGGCTGTTCACCTCTGCAAACACAGAAAATGCCTCCTAAGAATAAAGTCATCCCCATCACAGTTACAGTTTCATTATTAAGTCTAAGGGTGTAATGATTCCTTCCCATCTTTTAATATGTGTTCCACACGCACATTTCCGATTTTTTCAAAACATCTTGTATATTTGCTTTTTAAAACCAAGATACAGTTGTATGTTTTTATCCTGTTCATCAAGCTCTTAAACCTAGAAAGATTAGTGTTTATTTTTTTCACGATAGCCACACAAATCTTGGCAAATACTCTAATGTCATCAGGTTCTTTACTCATAATTGTATATAATTTGGTTCTATATTTCAAGTCTTATAAATTAAAAGTTAGCCTAGTTGCTTTATTATATTGTTGCTGTTGGTGGAGAAGATATCTCTGGTATTGTCATGTCCATCAAATTCACCTGGTAGGAAGCACAAAGTGACAGATTGTCTCACTACTGGTGATATTACTTTGATCTCTCGCTTCATGTAGTTATAGTCAGATCTCTTCTTCATTTCTTTAACTTGTTAATTTTTTGTTTATTTATTGTTCCCAGTACTGGGCATTGCACCCAAGGCTTTGTGCATGAGATCTCTTCTTAAGCATCTATTTCCCTTCTGTATTCAGCATCGTCTTGATGAATGAAAATTGTCAAAGTTATATCCTATAACAAATTTTCCATAATAGTTGAGTATCTGTTGATGATTTTTGCCTAAATTCTTTAACTTCATTGAGGTTAGTAAGTAGTATTTTCATTTTTAACTATTTTTTTTACTTTTCAGACCTCATGTTTTATAAAAAAGTATGTATTAAGATTAACTATAATTTTGCCTGTATAGTAATATAATTCTTAATAGCTTCTCTTTACTCCTCAAAGTTCTGAGAATTAAGCTATCATACTAATCATTAAGAAAAATGTATTTATAATCTATATATTTTACAATATAGAGAATTCTATATATACATCATATCCTGAAATTGATTTTCCTCATTTTTGTCTTTGAAGAATAAATGTATCCAAGTATCGCTAACAAGGTCCCTATTGCTATTGAAGTCCTTCATTTTCATTGATTTTTCTCTTCCCCCTGATGCAGGCGGTAACAGAGTCCAGGCTATGCAGCACCCCTGACCCAACCTCTTCCCAGAGACCCTGTCAACAGGGTTTGGAGCCCCAGATGTAACCACAGCTTCTGTTTGGTCATTTGGCTACAGCATTCTGGAGGGCTGCACTGTGACTTCTCTGACCCTACAGGAGGGAGGGAGGGAGGAAGGGAGAGAGAGAGGGAGGGGCAGGCAGTGGGAGGGAGAGAGAGACAGAGAGAGAGAGAGAGGGAGAGAGAGAGATTGCTAACTGTAACTTGAAGTACCCGGGTAGAAGTTTAGCTACCTGGTATCGAAAGCTGCACTCTGATTTTAATGTACTTAATTTATGTGTGATTTTTATGGATCGGTGTGATTGTTAGACTGTTTATGACAATAAAGTCAATAGAAACTAAGAAGATTGCTGACTGACACTGAAGGAACAGAGAGCTTCCTTCAGGCCCATCTCGGTGACCCAAGGTGACCGGCAGGCAAATGGAGGTGTTGAGATGGCCATGCCACTCAGCGGTCTCACAGGACACAGGCCCGCTTCAGAACGCTCCACTCCTGGGTGGGAAGGAGCTCCCACAACTCATGGCAGGGGGCACAGAGAGTGTGGTCACCTGCTGCCCCAAACTCCCTTGCACCCCTAGGCTTCAGGTTTCAGGGTTCCTGGTGCACGCAGTAAGGGATATGTGGCTCCTGGGCCACCCTGGCAAGAAGTCCCTGTAACCAACACCTCTGCTGACCTTCAGAATTTAAGACTCATCCTTTAAACTGACCGTGTAATTCAGAGAGGCAACTGTGCTTTAAGTGTGCCCACTGCACTGTTTTTTATTCCTGGTGAATTCCCATTTTGGTTCTGAACAGTTCGGTATTTTGTTTTCTTTTTAATTTTGCTTTGTTCGATGGGAGGATTTTTGGATTTTTTTTTTTTTTAGGGGGGGGTTTTTTTGTTTTTTTTTTTTTTTAGGGGGGGGTTTTTTTGTTTTTTTTTTTTTTTAGGGGGGGGTTTTTTTGTTTTTTTTTTTTTTTAGGGGGGGGTTTTTTTGTTTTTTTTTTTTTTTATTTTTTTTTTTTTTATTTTTTTTTTTTTTTGATACCGGGGAACTCGGGTCCTTGTGCTTGCAAGGCAGGCCACCGAACCGCTGAGCTAAATCCCTGGCCCAATGGGAGGATTTTTGGTTACCTATCTATCTATCCACTGGAAATTTAGAAGTAAATATATGAAGACTATGGTTTATATCTCTACTATGACAGATATATAATGATAATAAGCATTAATTTATATAGTCTGTGTGCAAAATTTCATAGTACCTTATTTTTCTGTGGTACATATCTAAGAAATTTTCACGTGGCATCACTACAAAAAGAACTAAAACAAATGTAGTTTAATTATTAAAATGCCATTCTTTCCATTCTGTATGATTATAGTCCCTTAAGATTAAATTCTTGGAAGAAAGAAAACTTTAATTTGGAATATTGAGATGATTTCCTAATATACCATACTACTTGATTTTACAATTTGTAACAAAAACTGATGAATTACAAATGTAAAATCATGTGCTTTCTTCCCAAATGATAATACACCTTGGTTAGTATGAAAGGACTCCAACAAGCAGATGCTTAAATTTTCATTTTAGTAATACAAGTTTGCAATACATGGCAATTACTTTCATTGTGGAGTTGGTAAATGTCCATAACACATCTTACTTCTTTTTATGTCCCTGTTCCCTCTCCCTTTCCCCTCATTTCTTGGTCCCTTTCCCCTTTGCAAAAGATCTAGTTCCTATCATTTATCATTTATTTTATTCTGATTTGTTTACACTTTGAGAGAAACCATGTGGTATTTGTTTATATGTCTGATTTATATCATTAAATGTTATAGTCTCAATGTGTATCCATTTTTCCCACAAATGACTCAAATCTATCATTTTTAAAACCACAGTTGTATTCCATTGTGTATAAATACCACATGTTCCTTATCCATTTGTTAATGGACATAGGCTGCTTACAGGATTGAGCTATATGAATGATACTGCTATAAACAGGGGTTTCCTGAATCACTATAAAATGATGTCTTCACCTCTTTTCAGAAGATATCTAGAAAGGGACTGGTGAATCGGTTGGAACTGCTAGTGTCAGTTTTTTGAGGAATCTCCATTCCAACTTTCATAGTGGTTGTGTTAGTTTACATGCCTACCCAACCATGTAGAAAGGCTGCTTTTGCCCCTCCTCCTTGTTAGCATTTGTTATCATTTGATATGTTGATGACAGTGATTCCTTCTGGAGTGACATGGAATCTGAGTGCCATTTTAATTTTCATTTCTCTAATGGCCAGAGATGCTGAACATTTTTTATGCATTTACTGGCTACTTGTGCTTGTTCCAGAAAGTGTCTATTTAAGTATAATTTTCTGGCTAAGCTAAACTTGTTTTACAGACAAATTAATTTTCTTTGAGTAAAATTGATAGGAATAAAAGAGTCATCTCTCTCTCTCTCTCTCTCTCTCTCTCTCTCTCTCTCTCTCCCTCCCTCCCTCCCTCCCTCCCTCTCTCTCTCTTTGGGACCTTGCTGAGCTAAATCCCAGCCCTCATGTCTCTTCTTTGAAATCTACCATTTAAACTGGATTTCTTCTGCACTTGTTAGTCTGTTTTGTATTTTTCTTGTGAACTTTGTAACAGTTCCTTGTCAAAATTCTGCTTAACCTTTGAAGACGCTGGCTGTTGCTTACAGAATAAATAAGATTACAGTTAACAATGAGTCATCACCAACACAGGCTCAGGGAGGGCAGAGTGAAAGGGGCTGGCGGCTTTCCTGGTTATGGCCACTCCACAGATAAGTTCATTGTTTAAATATCATTTGTATCTTACCTGTGAAGGGAATGATCCTGGTAGCAACAGCAAAATTGATTTCATCTTTCAGACTTACCTTCAGGTGTCTTGAACAAAATTCTTGATTCTGAAACGATGCAGTCCAAGGTAGCAAGAATTCTTTCCTTGTGCCAGGTGTAGAATTTGTTGTGTCCCTGTGTAGTCCAATCTGGTCTATGCAGATGTCTTTTCTTAAGAATATTTGTTTTATTCTTCTTTTTCCTTTTAGGAGTTAGATATTTTTTCTTTCCAGAGATAGTGTTATTTTCTCATTTCAAATTTCAAGTTATACAGGTGTTTTAAAACTCATGTTTCCCTTCATGTTAATTAGACGGCTTCATATAACATGGTGTCTTTCTGTCTCCTCCACTTGCAGGTGGAGAGCCATCCTTATCTCAACCAGAGCAAGCTGCTGGATTTCTGCAAGTCTAAAGACATTGTGCTGGTTGCCTATAGTGCTCTGGGAACTACACGAGATAAAATATGGTAAAGTCAGTAGGGTCTTACTTAAAACCCATTGCTAACTGAGTGATTTTAGTCAGACTACCCACAGTGTTGGAGAATTCACATTCATCTGGTTCAGGGATGGAGAGAATTGCAATTCTATCAAATTTACAGAAATGCGGATGCTTCTCGTCAGGGGACCAAACCTGGGAACTCAATTGTAGCACCGAAGTGTCTTTTGAAACGCTCATAACAAACCCAATTCTCAGCTTCAGGACTTGAGCACTTTTATCTTTTGATTCAGGGTGGACCAGAGCTCCCCGGTTCTCTTGGAAGATCCAGTTCTTTGTGCCCTGGCAAAAAAGCACCAGCGATCTCCAGCCCTGATTGCCCTTCGCTACCAGCTGCAGCGTGGGTTTGTGGTCCTGGCCAACAGCTCGAGTGAGAAGCGGATCAAAGAAAACACACAGGTAATAAATTAGCTGTAGCTATTAACTCTGCTCCACAGTATTTTCAAATGTGTGTTACCTGGAAGCCTCTCAGGCATCTTTTGGCCAAGCGAAATTCCCTGTGATTGTCCATACACACGAGTTCACAGTATTCTTACCAGTGAACTCTTTCCCCCACGGCAGCAGGAAAGGCAATGTGGACAGTGGTATTAGGACTGGAAACAGAAAGGTGGGCTTCACCATTCAGTTTGCAATGCTCCAAAAGCCCCGGGCAAATGACTTTGCCTTTCCTCTTTGTCTGAAAGAGGGAACTGAATTCTGTGATTTCACATATTTTCAGTGTATTCTCTCATGAATTTTCAAGACATGGAGGCCCCTCTGCCGTTGTCCTCCACACAGCCCTTTATTCTGTGGGCAACAAGACCAGCCTCATTCTCATCACAGGACACAATCCAAGTCAGTGGGAAGGGCCTTACACAGAGTGTTCACGTCTGGGCTCAGAGCTGACACATCATTCATGAGATTGTACTGAGAAGTGTGAGTTACAGGCCAGCCCGGATTTAAGGGTCGGGGCAATGGGCACCGCCTGTTAACAGAATGAGCAATTCATTCAAAAAGCACGAGGTGTGGAGACAGAGATGTGAAGTGATTGATAGGAACATTTTAAATCTCAGTCTACCTCATTTGTTTATTCTGGATATCAAGCTTTGGGATTCACACATCATGTGGCTATATCAGTCTCTCAAATTTTGCTTGCGTTTTCATTGTCTTTATGGAATATTATAATGAATTAAGTTTCTACTCTCAGTGTAGTCAAACACTTCATGTTCTCCTTCTACGGTTGATGGGAGTCTGCCTATTCTTACACTGGGAACATGAGACTATTAATACTACATTGCTTTGTGCTAGTGTTTTAAATTTTCATTTTAAGTTGGCCATCACTTGTAATTACTTTTGTTAATACTGCAGGAATAAAGAGAAACATATACATACATAGTCTTAATAGATATCTCAGCAACAGTTACTGAAAATGTCATATTTTCCCACAGATCTGTTCTGCTATCTCTATCATATACCACAGGTTTACAATAGCTTTCTGACCATTTTCTTGCAATCAGATGACTTATTTACTTTTCTATAGTGTTTTAATCAGGTTGGGAAGTGAGTTGTGCTGTACAAATGGTAAAATTTCTTCTCAACTCTTCCTTTTATCAAAAATATATTTTATTTTGTCCCAATTCCGCCTTCAAGCCCCTCCTCTTTCTAGGTACAAAATCTTTGATTCAATGTTTTCTTCCCTTGTTTCTTCCCAATGTTTCTCCCTTGTTCCTCTTCCCATTTGAACATTTAAAAAATATTTTGTAAGTTGTGATTATTTCTTTATATAAAATTGAGAGTCCATCTATCATCTACCACCAAAAAGTACTTTTTTAATTGTTTTGTTAATACATTGAAACTGTCAATCATATCGGAGATAACTTTTTGATAACATTGATAATTGTGATCTAAAGTTGTGATATGAATTTTCAAATATTTAGGTTAAATTTTAGTATATTTCAAAACTCTCCATTATAAATTTTTATTACTTTAGATTTACTCACAGAGTACTGAAAATTTTTATTTTGATAGCTTTTTCCTTTTAATTTTGAAAATTTTCCAAATGCATAAAAAATTTTGGTGCAGAGCATTAAACACTTCCTACCAAGAACAATCAGTTGTGAAATTATTAACCTTTCTCTCTCAGTTTTAGAAAATTATTATTAATTTATGGATCCATTAGTTCCAATGTGTTAGCAATTATTGACAATCTTTTTGGTGCTTAAATTATCCCTAATTTACATGATGACTTCCTTTTCAAGCCACTTTATGTGCCCTTTGATGATACTGGCATAAGTTTTTGGACAATATATGCCTTCACTAATATGAGAAGAATTTGTTTTAATTCTCTTTACTAATGAAATATAAAAACCCAACTCTATTCATGAATCTTGCCAAATAATAATTGTAAAAAATTAGTTTCTAAATTTTTCTGACTCTTAAATACATCATCTTTCAATAATGTCTGCTGTCATTGGAGAATGGATAAAGAAGATGTAGTTTTTCTAGAAAATGGAATACTACTCAGCCTTAAAGAATGATAAATTAGAGTCATTCATAGGAAAATAGATACATATTGAGGATATACACCTAAGTGAAATAAATAAGTCACACATGTATAAATACTGAATAGTTTCTCCAGTGTGAAAAACTATAATGGTACATAAGATCCTAATGATATAATTGACAATGTGAAATAGGAAGAAAAGGGCTAAAGGTGTAAGGGAAGTGGGAAGGGTAGGGGAAAGGTAATAAGGGAAAAGAAAAAAATATGAGAAAATGAAAAAATGGAAATAAAGTATTTGTAAATAGGGAAGGGAGGAGGGGGTGAAGGGAGGGCAGGGACAAGGGGAAAAATGCTTACCAAGACCTGTCCTGTAAAGGTACAAGATCCCAATGATGAATGTAACTGTACTGTATACCTAAAATGTACCAATAAACTCAGACAGGAAAAAAAATTGTCTGCTGTCTATCTTTTCTAGTTTCTTTAAAGACCTTTTTTGCAATACTCAGTCGTAATGTATTTTATAAAGCCTTAGATTTCTCTTTTTTACCTGATATGTTTCACAATCTGTGCATTGTATTCAATAACTTTAATAAATTTTAGAAAGTTCTCATCTATTTTATGTATTTACTAATTCTGCAGTGCTGGAAATTAAAAGCAGGGCCTTAGTATGCTAGGCAAGTGTGCTACCTCTTCTTTATATCCTTAGCCCTTCTCATCTGTTCTATATATTGTCTCTACAGCATTTGGTTACTTGGATTACTTTTGTTGACAATATTAAGTGTAAAATCAGTAAAATTAAGTGTAAAAATAGTAAAACTCTTCTTCTATTTGCTTGATAGGTTTTTGAATTCCAGTTGACTTCAGAGGATATGAAAATTTTAGATGGCCTGAACAGAAATTTTCGATATAATGCAGCTAATTAGTAAGTTACTTTCTTAAATGCATTGGATCAATTTACTTTCTGGGAAAGAATGTAACATGTATGTTAAGAGTCACCACAATACCAGGAGTCAGGGACCAGTGTGAGTCAGGCATGACACAGGGGCTCAGTTCTGTGAGTGAAACCAGGGTCAATGTGAATTTGCACATGTGGGACTGCACTTCTTATTCTGCAAAACTTTCCATATCAGCCAATATTATTGTTGAGTCTACACTTCTACAAAGGCTTCTCTATCCTACAGATTTCTAGTGGACATAGACTCTGGGTGTTACCTGAGAAACCTAATTATATATTTCTAAGACGATTTTACATTATCTCTTCTCACATCTCTCAATTTCTGATCAGATTAAGGCATTTCCATTCATAATGTGCTGCAAGTTAGAAAGTTATTCCCTCCACAGGGGATTGTTCATTGGAATATCTCAACGTAATGTCTTTAATGATTTCAACTGTCACTTTCTTTCCACTGCACATCTGTCCAGTGCTCAAACACAGCATTTGTCTAAAGAATATTTGCTTTTAGCAGAGTTAGTAGAAATTTGAGTTCTGATTTTCTGAATACTAGAGATTTAAATGTAAAGAATAAAGTTTAGTGCAGAGAAGAGTGAATGAAGGAAAAATAAAGGCAAAGTCTTATTGTCAAGAAGTTACAGCCAACAAGTGATCTTTGCTTTTCCTTCGTGCTTTAAAGTTATAGGACCTGGAGTGGGCCTATATTTAAAATGAGGGCAAGAAGAAATGTCAAAATGCATGAGAAAATGTTAGCATAATGACAAATTATATATGCCAACATTGCTAGGCATATCAATACTAGCACTTGTCTTAGTGTAGACAAAAATGAAGTATTAGGTTGGGTCATAATTCAAAGAGATGGACAGAGGGGCGATTAATGACTATTTCTACCTTCTAAATGTCTTAATAAGTAATGGCTTCTACCATTTTATATTTTGTGTTGGTAAAGTGTGGACATCATCAAATTAAAGAGTAAGCTGCTAGGATATGGAACTCTGTCTTACGAGTAAAATTCTTGTGACTTCTGAATGTAACAGATTACATTGCGGGTGATGAGCAGTGAGGGAACAGTAACGAATGAGCAAAGTGAAAGTGAAGTTTCTAGCGGTAGTTTATACCCCTGGAATACTTTTGTTTTGTTTTGTTTTTTGAGACAGGGTCTCACTATGTAGTTGAGACTGACCAGGAGCTCACTATGTAGCCCAGGATGGTCTCGAACTCACAGCGATCCTCTTGCCTCAGACTCCCGAGTGCTGGGATTACAGGTGTGTGCCACCACGCCCGGCTCTGGAATATATTTTAGTGTCGACCAACATCTGGATCTGTCATTGTTCAAAATTAGAAAGGCTTAGCCTCCGATTCCTTTGATAATTAAACATAAGATCAGATAAGATATTGCTTTTGCTTGTTGACACATGTGGCTTAGGGACAAAAATGTTTGAAATTTTGTCTCTTGTGTTTTGGGTGAAATTCCAGACAAAAAATATAATATGAAAATTTTAATTATGATTTAGAAGTTCACTATAATATATTCATAAGCTAAGAATAGCAAATTTTTAAACTAGTCAAGGATTAAAATGATTAAATTTAATGCAATGACAGCCTTCATAGAAATCACTTTACCCCCTGGAAATGGAATTATTGAGCTCATATTATGCAATTTTTAAATTTTAGTTTTGCTGGTCACCCCAACCACCCGTTTTCTGATGAATATTGACCCGGGGACCTTCGTCCTGACTTCTCTCAGAAGCCCGTGCTTCAGTGATGCAGGAGGCATTTCAGACACAGCTTTCTGGACACAGCACTTCTTGTCTTTGGATGCCAATTGTCAACTCACACACAGCTGATGCCAAATCCACAGGGCTGGAAGGGAAGATACTCATCTATCACACCCAAAAGAATGATATAAAGTTGATTGTCATAATGATTCATACCTGTAGTATGTATTATTTGTGTAGTTTATTTCCTTTTGAATTATTTTTTTTCCTTTTTATTGAGGTTATTGGTACAATCTAGGTATACAAAAACAGTTACATTCATCATTGGGATTCCGTACCTTTACATAATAGGTCTTGATTCTCATTTTTCCCCTTCAAAAGAATGATATAAAGTTGATTGTCATAATGATTCATACCTGTAGTATGTATTATTTGTGTAGTTTATTTCCTTTTGAATTATTTTTTTTCCTTTTTATTGAGGTTATTGGTACAATCTAGGTATACAAAAACAGTTACATTCATCATTGGGATTCCGTACCTTTACATAATAGGTCTTGATTCTCATTTTTCCCCTTGTCCCTGCCCTCTCTTCACACCCTCCTCTCCTCCCCATTTACAAACACTTTATTTCCATTTTTTCAGTTTCTCATATTTTCTCCTCTCCCTTATTACCTTTCCCCCACCCTTCCCACTTTCCCTACACCTTTAGCCCTTTACTTCCTATTTCACATTATTAATTGTCTCATTAGGATCCTGTGTACTATTACAGTTTTTCACACCAAAGAAACTATTCGGTATTTCAGTTAAAGAAATCTCTGTATGAACATTAAAAATAGGG